CTTATTAGGCTTAGGATCCCTTCCCCAGCTCCAAAACGCTTTAAGCCAGAAGGACAGTCACTGCTGGCATCGATTTCAAAAAGATCCTGCAATAAAAATAAATCACTCGGCCTTTCAGCGAGCGTCACCGCGCTTCCCAGCGCACATGTGCAGGAGATGAGGTCGCCAAATACCAACGGCATCTGACCCCTGCCCTGGGAACTGCAGCAGGGCCCGCTTTGTTCTGCCTCCAGAGCATCGCCCTAATCACCGCCTCGCACCCGCCTTTGGAGAGCAGGTGATAATTAAGCAGGTCTGGATGAGACACCGGGCTAATGATTAGTTCGATACCAATTTTCACTTGACAGCTGAGACCTAGGGAGCGCTCGCCGCAGCTCTGAAGTTGTGATTGCAGTCAGGAGCAGCATCCCACCACTGCAGCCCAAGCCTCCAGTGTCCTTCCAAATGCAGGATGAGGAGGTGAGGTGAGGGAGGGAGGTCCCCTTGCAGGAGAAACGTCCCTTGCTGCTCCCTCCTGCCTGGAAGAGGTCTGAGGGAAGTGGAGATGAGCGAAACGATCACAAGAGACGCTTCACCCAAGTGCTTTGTCCACACGCTCAAGAAATTCAGGCTTACAGGCACCCCAGGGTTTGTGGCAAGACAGGGAGCAAGAACTTCACGCCAGGTGCTAGGGACTTACCCGGACGCACAAATTGCACTCGTTTAACTGAAACTGCTTTGAAAAGTCTTACTTAAACATCAGCAAGCCCTTGTGGGAACACCTTGATCAACAGCAACGAGTAGCATCAATTGCAAGTAAAAAATGGAGCTAAAAGAAACCACAGGTCAAGTGATGGACGTCCTCAGAGCTGCACCAGCCACATGGCCAGATGAGAAACCAGCAGTTAGCTGGGGGAAGCACGCACACAAAGATCTGCCCCGGGGAAAGATGTGCTGCGCAGAGAAGGCAGCCCCTGTCCCCCACCTTTCTTGTGGGGGACAGGGGCTGGAGGGATGCTTACAGATCTCTGAAGCCCAATTCCCAACAAACCACACACTATCACGACCCGTCAGCGTGGCTGTTCCCTTCCTGACTGCACAGGTCCCCAGGAGATCTAACACCTTGGAGATCAGAGCGCTGCTATGGAGCTGCGGCACTCAGACCCACACCATCACCTGCTCACAAAGCTCACAAGCGCACAGGAGCTCTGTTAAAATTTCCATTGCACAGATTAGGAGCGAAAACAGGCAAGAATTAAAAAGCTTGCCCAAAGCTCCCCAAAAAGCCCGCGGGTGGCTTGGTGGGGAACATGGATCTCGCAAGTAGTCAGAGCACCGCACAGATTTTACCTGGAAAACGTTGGATCAAAAGACTCCAGCTGCAGACAAAAACCTTCCTTCTCCAATCTTAGCAGCCGAGGGACGTCTCCACGCTTCCCAGTGAAGCACCATCCACAGAAAGCAGCTTCAGGTCCAAGAGGACCTGAAGTCCCCGCTCCACACAGCCGGGCACAGGCTGGATCCTCCGACTGTTTGCTGAGGCAGAGAAACGCTGCGGCTCTCCTGCTGCTCGCACCTCCTCTCCCCACCACCAGGTACGTTAATTCTTCTCGTTTCTCCTCCTTCCTGCCTAGATGTGGCACCATTCTGGTGTCCTCGTGATTTGGGGCCGAGCACTTTGACCAGGATTAGCTCCTGGCGTAGCCTGACAGCCCCACAGCCACCCTGGGGAGCCTCAGTTCACATTTCCAAGGAGATGTAAACACTGAAGCTGCTCCATCACCGCCCTGATTCTCAGAGCAAACAAATATTAACAAGATAAACAAAAGAATGAAAAATCCCACACACCGAGACCGCGGCTGTGATACTGCCCTGGGGATGGGGTGAGCTGAAGGGAACGCCTGGCTGGAGATGCACAGCCTGGAAAGAGGAGGAAGAGGGAGAAACCAAATCGACCTGGGCAGCAGAAGTGAGAAGCAACACTGGGTCACAGGGAGAACTTCGCCTCGTGCCACAGGGACCCCACAAAAGCTCTGAGCACTACAGAAATTCACAAGCCAAAGGATCTACAATGTTTTTGTAGGATCTTGCCCCCTCGTTGATCAGCTGCCCGACACAGAGGGCACCTCGAGGAGAGGGGGCCAGAGGGATAAATGCCCAAACACACACCGCCCTTCCCTGGCTGAACACAGCCAGCATTAATCTTGCTGCTTTTCGCTAATCGCTCATAAATTTACAGGCTTTTAGCAAGCAGCTGAGGTGCCTCCTGCCCTCCCATCCCCGTGTCTCCCCGCAGACCGACTGATTGCTTTCTCCTGGACACCAATTACCGGGGAGCCTGAAATATTTCAAGTGCTGCCTGGGGCTGCGGGGCTTCTCGGAGACAATGCGGCAGCTGGACTGGTCTGGCCGTTTCCCTGCGAGCTCCAGCCAAGCACCAATCCTTTCCTCAGCAATCCGGGCAGGAGCAGAGACCCAAACACCTCCTTCTTGATGGGGCATCCTGGGCACCCCGCCACGAGGGCCCTTTTCCACGTGAGGCCTCGGCACGTGCTGCCCAAACCATGCAGTTCACCCCACAGGACCTCACTCAGGGATGGGCAGCTCACACACAGCCTCCACACAGCCCAAAAAGACCTCTGCAGCTGCTGGGCTGCACACACCTTCCCTTCCAGAGGGCATTTCTTCCCCTAGGAGTTAGCTTTGTCCCAGCCAACTCTCCCCTCCTGCATTTTCAACGCATCTAACCTCGCTGGGTCTTCCTGAGCGATCTTCCCTCTCCCTGCTAGGATCCACAAGAACTCCCTACGCCGCTTGATCTTCAAGTTTCATTAATCTACCATCTGCCTCCTCTCACGGAGCCTTCAAGAAACAGAGGATGAAAAGGCACAAGACAGAACTTTGCTGCCACCAGACCCCTCTTCACGGCTCGAGACGCTGCTATTTATTACCAAACTTTGTTTATAGTTCTGCAGACGCTCTCCCACCCACATGGCAATGTTTCATTCAAGACAAGCTTGAATTCCCTTCAAGAACAACATTTCAAAGGATCCCAAGGCATTTGTTTACAAACAGCACGCACGGAGAATTTGCTTCTCCCACCAATGAAACTCGGTCCCCTCCGCGCCGGGGAGAGGCAGCTGTTTCGTAGCACCCAACGCTGCTCAACAGCTGAGGGACAGGAAACCATCCGCCGACAACTGATCCCGCGGGGGAAACGGATGGAAAACGGGGGCCGAGGGCTCCTCTCGGCCTGGAGAGCACGGGGAAGCTGTTGAGCGCTCTCCAGCCCTCCGCTGGGTCAGGAGGAATTTCGGGAGGCTGAGCATCCCAGACTGCGGTCGAAGGAGCGACTCCAAATTTCAAGCCTCATCTGAAAAGCTGGCACCTCCAGAACTAACGGGAACCTGGGCACCGGGATCGCTGGGCTGCAGAGGGGAGAGCACCCCCTGCTGAGGCAGCCACACGGGTTTCCATCCAAGCCCCGAACAGGCCCAGCCCTGTTTAACTTACGGTACGAGCCAAGCTCGCAGCCTAGGGAGGTATTTGGCGCAACGAGAAGACACTAGGAAGGCTATAAAACTGAAAGCCTTTTGCAGCCCCAGCCTCCATCCGCAAGACCTAGGGTAAACACTAAATCTTCAGAGGGGAGGAGGGGGGAAAAAAAATGGAAAGGAAGGCGCTCACGCAACCCGCTGCAATCCCACTAGGAATGGGAAAGGGTCACACTGCGGGAGCCAAGGGAGGCTGCCTTCCCGGGACGGGGCTGTGCAAAAAAAAAACCCAGAGGAGAGTCAGCTGTGGGAAGACCTCGGGCAAAACAAAGGGTCTCGGGAGCTGGCTTCACGTGACGCTCGCTCCCTGGAGCGGTCGGGGACTTTACAAAGGTGGGAGCCAACGGAGGCCCCGCGTAAAGCTGGCGCGAGGCACAGCAGGGCCCGCCTCACCTCCGCACGCGATGGAAGGAGCCCGGGATGATGACAAAAGGAGCGATGGGAGAGGATGGGGGCTGCTGGGGGGCTGCCCCAGGGTCCGAGCGGGGGGCTTCTCGCCCCGCACTCAAGGCCGGGAGGAGAAAGCCGGCCCCGTTTCCCCCGCTCCTCCCAAGGAGATGGGGAGAGGGGACGCTGCCAAAATGGATGGCGCTCCCCAAAATGGATGGTGGGAGAGCACAGCTGCCCCCAGCCCCCCTCCCGGGCAGGGAACGTGGCCCTGAGCCCTGGGGGAGATGCAAGGCCCCCTAAAACACAAGGGGGGGCGATGACACCGGGGGGACACAGAACCGGGGGGAGCCCCATGCAGGCAGCGGGGGGCACGGCGGGGACCCCTCCCTATGGCGGGGGGGGGGCGGCTACCCCAAAACGGGGTGCTGGGGAGGGAAGGGAGGGCACCACCCCCAGCCACCATCCTTTAGGGGAGGGGTCCCCAAAACCGAAGGGGGTGCCCCAAACCGGGGGAGGTGCCCCAAAGCGGGAGGGGGGGTGCCCCAAAGCCTGGGGGGGGGGGCGGGGGCTCACCCGAAGTCATCGTCCATGGACTTGAAGTAGAACTTGTAGTTGGGCCGGTTGAGGAGCCCCTTGAAGTCGCCCAGCGTGACGCGCTCGGCGGGGATGGGCAGCTTCACCAGGTACGGCGTCTCCTGCTCGTCCAGGTGGTAGATGATCTTCGTCTCGGCCGCCGCCATGGCGCCCCTGCCCCTCCTCCTCCTCCTCCTCCTCCTCCTCCTCTTCCTCCGCCTTCCTCCCGCGACCCCCGGCTTCCTCCTCCTTCCTCTTCCTCTTCCTCCTCTTCCTCCTCCTCAGCCCCCTCTCGCCCCTCGCCCCCTCTCCCGGCGCCCTCTCCCCCGGCTGTGCGGGTCCCAGCGCCGCCCGCCCGCACGGCGCAGGCTCGGGGCTCCTCCGGCTCCTCCCCTGCCCGCCCGCCCCGGCCCCGCCGGAACCGGAACCGGCGGAACCCCCCCCCCCAAAACCCCCCCACAGCCCCCCCTTCACAGGACCGGGCTCAGGGATCCCCCCCCCTCGGCCTTTGTCGCAGCTCCGCAGCCCCTCGTGGCGCTACGTGGCCCTCAGGGCAGGGCACGGGGTGGTTCTGCGCTGCCCCCCCCCTGCATAGACCCCTCGAGCCCCTCAGGCATCGCCCTGTGCAGCTTGAACCTGGCACTGCTCCCCTACAATCCCCTCACCGCCACCCCACAGCCTTCCCCGGTGCTCAGGGCCCTTTTGAGTGCCCCCAGCCCCGTTCCCTCACATGGTAGCATCACCACTCATCGCCACCGTTGCCCTCTGTGGCATCCTTTCCACATCTTTCCTTCATTGACCATGCACGCATCGGCTCCAAAAGTCTCTTATTTCCATCCTTTTCTCCCCACAGACCCTATTTCAGCCATCAGCGCCGTGACCCCAGCCAGCTGGAGCTCTCTTCTCCACTACTGCCACCCCGCCGGCACCCAAGGGGCACCAAGGAACTGTCTCCGTCAGCAGGGGCCTGGAGCTGTGGCTGAGAGCAAAGCTGGAGCCTGCAGAGCTTGGGGAACGCTCACCATCAGGACAGACATTAACAGCCTTGTCCTGGCCTGGATGAGAAGGAACACACACAAAAAAACACGCCATGGGATCACAGGGGGCATGAGGCCAGATTGCCAGTCCCCCTGCCAGACTCACCCACAGGAGGAAGAGCCAGAGAGCTTGCAGGGAACCGCACCAAGCTCCAAAGGCTGGCAGGCAGGTATGAGCTAAATAGCCTCTTCATGAGTCCTGTAGGTGTTCCTAGCAGTTATCTGGGCAGCACTGCTAGGCTGGGTTAAGAATCCCACATTACATTGAAAAATACACACTCAGGAAGACCTCAGGTAAATCGTAAGAAGCGTAAGGCTCTCCCGTGTTTCCACAAGAATTACAGTGTTCCTCTAGCAGGGCCAGGGCCACTCTCTTGTCCTCGTTCCCACCTCCTGACCACAGCTGCAGCTTCACCCCAGAACCTGCATCATACTCAGTAGCCACCTTTGTTACCAAAAGTGCCAGTTTTTGAAGTGTGAGCTCCCAAGGGACCGCAAGCAACCACAAAGTAAGAGAGGTGTCACACACCCACGGGGTGGTGCAGACCAAATCTCATTGTTACAGCCTTTAAAAACAGGCTCAAAACCATTTAAAACAGGCCAAGTGATTGAATAGGCTCAACCGATAGATTGATTTAACTGCTCCCAGGAGTCTTGTGAAGTGTGACTCACTGCTAATGAATGGGGGTTAAGACCACAGAGCCAAAGGAATTATCAGTAAGGGATAGTGCTGAGAAGTCCAGGTCCAGAAGGAAGAGTTTCTGAACATCCTGTTGGTTTGCGTCTAGATTTAAATATTACAGCAGTGATAGCACTGCTGCTCCTTGCAGAGTAAACAGGCTCCAGGCGTTTTAGTGCATCCATGAGACTTGCTCAGAACAGCCCCAAGCAGATGTAGGTGTACTTGAGTTCCATCACTTATGTCTCTAAGCAACAAAAACCTACTTTTTCTAAAAGGCACACTATTGTTAGCTGCAGTTACAGGCTTGACATGAGGAACGCCACGTGAAACTCATCAATCCATCCGCATTGGATGGGAAGTCAGACAAGATGAGTGCTACGGCCTTAGAAAAAAAATCTACTTACTGCTTATATTGCTAAAAAGGCAAATAGCAATGACTGCACAGTCAAGGTTGCTTTCAAAGGTGTTTCTAGTCGTCCAACCAAACACAAGGCTTGATGGAAAGCACCAGAAACCATCAAGCTGACCCTATGCTTAAACAATTCAATTAATGCTCCTTTAAAATGTATACGCTCATCAGTCCCTAAGAATGCTGCACTATGCCAGAACTCCACCCTGGAGAATATCAAGGGCGGTTCTATCAAGTTCTACTTTGACCATCTCCTTTTTGCTATTCTGTTATCAGCACCTTAAGACAGCCCACCACACACACTGCCAAGGCCTAAAGAGTAGGGATATTGGATCACAGAGCAACATTCCCCCTTTGATCTTTGCCCCTGAGTAAGACAGCGGCTCACACCAAGAAAAATTTGACTACTATGGAGCAAAGAAGTGAGGAATGTGGAAAAAACAAAAGTGGAATTGTTACTTGGCAAAAAAAATGAATAAAAAACCTGTAGCAAGAACAAGGCGTTTATGGAACTACATGTTAGACCTATTTTTAAACCACCTTCACATTGTAAAAGGAAAGAAAACCTTCAGAGGTCCAAGGAGGCTTCAGCATCCCCAAGTCTCACAGCTGGCTTGTAAATACGTTTAAATAAGAGCTCTGTAGCTGTCCTCCCCCCTCTCCACCAGTTCTTACTCCCCAACATTAGGAGGACGTGTCACAGTACATAATAGCCAACATTCCCACTAGCTCTCATCATGGCTAGGAAAACAGGTTTCATAGGATTTACAGTTCATCTTTGCAACATATTCCTGTACAAATCTCACCAATTTCAGGATTCTAAGTTCAGAAATGTTAATAAACAATTCTCTACTTTTAAATAATGAGATCGTGAGCTATCACTGGGTATTTATACCAATTCCATCATGTGCTGACTTCTTACCTGCTTAATACGTGCCTGATATCTCTTGAGGAAAACGTAGAAATGTGTTACTTAGCTTACCTCTAAGCTCTGCTCAAGCACATACAACTGGACACATAGGATTCCATCAAAGCAACCAGGCCAGTATCACCAGGATAGTTTTTATTTGCTCCCTGAATTAAATATTGGCAGATACAGAAAACTCAGATACCAACTATTTCCCCAACATTTACAAGACCGAGTTTGCCATGTCAGAAAACAAGCACAGTTACGCACAGTCCTGGCAACTGATAGTGGGAGTGCACGAGATCGCCCTGGCTGGACATCAGTTTTGAAGAGGCAGCATCCCTGGCCTCCAGCACCCAACACTGTCCCCTCACTGACAGTTGTGGCACCACGGAACGGCCAAGTAAATATCCTGAGTGGGCAGCTCCAGTGCATATTCCAACCCCCATCTCAAGGGATTTATTCCATGCTCCTCCTGAAGGGACAGAGGCAAGGTCAGCACGTCCAACATAGAACCCACCTACGAACACAAGCTGATTCCCACTGGGCCTTTTTTGCTCTGTTCTTTAGAAGAGCAGAGAAGAACGCAGCACAGAGACATTTCCAAGCAAGTTGTTCTTAAAGGCCTTACTGCTGCCTGCCACACATCGTGCTGGCAACAAAGCGCCAGAGGCACGCTCGTTCCCTGCTGCACGCCGAGCAGCTCTGCAGCTGCTGACCTTTACAATGGGTTTGCAGCACTTTCCCTGCTGTCTGAGGGAGGGGAAGTTCTCAAATAAAAAGGCGTAAGTTTGAGTAAGAAAGCTTATATAACCAAAATCATTTGGAAACACAACGCACGTGCAGTTTGAGGAGATACCACTCGCTCTTTTTCACATTGGAGCAGAACTTAGAAACTTGCGTTCTCCTTAAAGGAGTTGGTGCAATCAGTGCCCTCGGAGAAAAACACAAGTGTAGTTGTGCAGCAGGAGAAGCCAGGCATCTCTGCTCTCTTTGCTCTGCTTTTTTACCAAAAGAAATAAAGGGGGGGAGACAAACAGCTGGGGATGAGCATGAGACATATCACATCTAAGATGCGGTAAACCACATAGACCAGTGTGCACCCACTATTAGTCAACCCCTGTCGGGGAAGCCGAGTACCTATGATCCTGTTCTAAAGAAAGAGGAAACACGTGGTGCTACCAACTCCACTGTGCAACCTCGTGTTAGATCCCAGCACAGCAGATGGCAAGAGATTCTCCCTTTCATCAAGATCACAGAAGTGCCTTCTGGGCTGCAAAATGCCTTGGGCATCCTAAGACAACTGCATCTTCTCCAGGCACAGGAACTCTCGAAACTCAGTCCTGCACTCCAGATCCTCATCCACATCCTCCTACCTACCAACCTTGCCAGTGTCTCTTCAGCAGTTCTGAGCTCCAGAAGCAATAATGACACCAAATAATTTAGCTGTATGACCACTCTTCCACAACCCCAATGGTTAGGTTTATACGGGCGATGCATTTGCATCTGTTTGCTCCTTTTGCATTAGTAACACGGAGCTTCCAAAAGATAGCTTATGGTGTACCATATCCAGGCTTCAGAGGGATTCTAGGTATCATCACCTCCTGCTTTTCCCTTGTGGTTCTTACACCGTGCTACAACCACCCAACATGATGTGCCACTAGACAAGTGAGGGAGGGAAGGAAGTGGCAACGTTGGGAATGCACAACAGAATTAATGATGGGATTGTCAGTCACTTCGATGTCAGGCCCCACATCTACACACCATGCACTGGCACTGATCTTGCCCTGCCCACTTGGCCCGGAAAGGCAGTGAGAGTGCCTCTTCTCATGCCAAGCCACCGTGTCAGTCTTGGTCGCCGTCAGACGACTCTTCTTCTGCCTCCTCCAGCCACTGGATAAACTTCTGGAGCTGCAGAGAGAATGAAAAGGTAGGTGGGTGACAAGTGACAAACAGGTGCTGGGAATGCTCAACAACTGTATTGTGTAAGTGAGGACTGCTATCACACACAAGAAGGAGAAAGGGTGTTTCTAGAAGACATGAAAACAGAGGCAGATTTGAGGAAGACACACAAGTTTAGATGAAAAACAACTGGCATGCCATTAAAAGCACCGCTGACCTATACTACCAGTTGACTTTGCAAAGGTTTATAAACAAAGCAAAGGTTTAGACAAAGCTGCAGTTCCTCAGAGGTGGCCTTCTTCCCCTCCAACTCTTCCAAATCCAGGGAGGAGGACTGGAACAGGGCTCAGCCAAACTGCAGCACAAAGTTCTGTCTGATGGAAGGGGGAAGTTTATACGCTCCCTTACAACACAAGCCAAATGAAACCACTCAGTACAGCAAACGCTTCAAAATATATGCGAAGGGGCTGGTAAGCCAGGAATGAAAGCTTCAAAGGAATTGCATGGGGCCAGCACACAGGGCATTGGCCTAAAGCCCATTTCGAATGGGTGTTGGCTTAGAGAGACCGTGCTGCTCCTCCAGAAAGTGCTGGCCTTATGCTGCAGACCCCACTTAAAACAACATCCCTCTCCTACTGCCTCCATTCCTTGTTGAAACAGGATGATTATGGCAGAACGCACAGAAACATCCGCTCTGGAGAACAAAGTTGCGTTGTTTAGCGCTCAATACACTGCTGCATTATTGGCCTACCAGCAGCTGCTCCACAGAAGGTGACAGTGGCACTGAACTCCAAGTTTCTTTTACCAGATGTTGCTTTTTTTTAAAAAAAGCAAACAAAACCAAACAACAAAAACAAACAAACAAAAAGACACCTTTGAGACTTACCCTCTGGTTTTTACGAAGCTGCTTTCCCTTGTCAGATGTGTCCCGCAGAGAGAACCAGTTGAGAATTACATCTTCTTCCAGAATTTCCAGCTGGTAAAATGTCATCAACACCTGCATTGATTAAAAAAGAGCAACAGGGCTCTTTATAAAGCCTTTTGGGACTAGCTCATGTCCAAGCATAGACTTTGCACGTAATCTGTGTCTTCCAGCTCCATCTTCAACTGAAGGCAATCAGTCTTTTTAATTTTGATTTTATTACTACAAATAACTGTACTTCCCCTGTCAAGCCCTATGCTCCTGGCAGTTGGATGCTACGACACACCATGAGTCAAAGTTCAAGCCCCATCACCTTCAGCTCTGTGGCTGCAGGGTATGCTCGAGAGCTGTGGGCAACAAGAGGCCACAAAGGGCATCAGTTCAAGATATCATTTCTCTTTTTAAATCACCCCAAAAAATATCCCCAAAGCAGATCAGATAAGCCACTCTTATGCAGGCCCAGATACACACAGCAGTGACACGCGCAGAGAAGAGCACGAATCCATCCACCCTGCCCCAGGCTCCCTCTTCCTGTCAGTTCTCTCTGAAAAGTGCCTTATGGCAGGTGTCAAAGCAATTGGTCATTCACCAGCTCAAACCCCTGCCCAGCGCAGTGAGGGCGAGATGCAGTCATGCTTTCTCAGGGTGCCTTTGTGCTCAGGCAGAGCAGGCACTTTGCAGTTGGTCTCCTTGCGGCAGAGCACTGACAAAGCTGTCTGCCAACTCCAAATATAAAGTGTCATTTCAATTCTCAGCCTCCAGGGAAACCCAAGCTCCTAGAACAATGGACACATGCCAAACAATTGCTGTAATTCAATGACATTTTGGCTCACCAAACCAAAGGCTTTTGGCTCAGCTCCATGCTAAGTGCTTTGCCATTAGCCAGAGGCACTGGTGGCAGAAGTTAAGATTACTCTGTCTTGAGGAACCAACAGTTAAGCAGGCCCTAGGAGAGCTCTTCCAAAAGACAGGGGCTTCTTGAGACTGCTGAAGGAAAATACTTGCAATTCAAATCAAATGCTCTTAGTCTGATGACGGAAAGAACACAGGGACAAAATATTTGTGAAGGAGGATTGTGCAGGGATATATTGAAAAGTCTTGAAGTGGGAGGATAGGTAATAAGCCACATGTTGTTGCCCTTTATTCCCAGTTTCACAACTAGGTCAGCCTGAATATGAAATTCTGCCCTTATTCCCAGTTTTGCGCTCTCAACTAGCATAAACCATTTGGCAGTTACATCCCAGGGACCAGGCAAAGACAAATGAAGTTAAGCTCTTCCTAAAACAAGCCCCTGGCCTCACATCTCTTCCAGCACCACACAAGGGTATCTAGGTTAGAAGTTGCAAAATAACAGCTCCCTTCAGGCTTCATGCTGCTAAGGGATACTTACCCTCAGCAGTGCTCACTCTGAGGCACAGGCAGACACAGAACTTTTTTTTTTCTAAAGCAATTGTTATAGATGGATTTCCCATCCACACTCTGCACTGCAACCCCACATTTCTCTCCTCTAAAGCAGACAAGCTGGTGATGTGAACAGGATGCATTTCACCATGAATCCAGCAAAAACAGGTCCTCAGAGCTGGGAGCAGATACTCACTTTAGCTATTGATGTGCAAAGACTGTCATGTTCCAGGAAGAATTCCTCAATGGCAAATAAGGCATTCAAGTGATCTGACGCACGTTTTATGTAGTTCTTAAACAACGGGGTCCAGTTCTTCAACAGCTGCAGGGAGAAAGCACAGAAGAGTTCCTGAGCTATGAGATGGATGTGTGCACTCAGCCCAGCTTCTCAGCTGTACTGCACTGAGAAACTGACCCAGGACAGCATTTTAAGAAACCCTTCAGCTAGCCAGTTAATGTGTTTGTCTCTGTCCATTAAACAGATGCTATTACACCTCCTGTGCAGACAGGACATGGATTTGCCAAGTAGCCTTGAGAACATCAGTTAGCTTTCTTGGTTTTGCTTCTCTGGCTGGAATAATAGACAATCACAATAAACGTGTTTAATGGAGTTTGGTACTCAAAGCAAATCACATCACAGCAGACCGATAAGGATAGGTATATACATGCTCTCAAACTTTCCCTCAAAGTGCAGCTAACATTTCGTTGGCACTTTCCCGCAACGCAAAGGAGCAAATAAGAACTAAGATTTTAAAAAGTTCCTAACTGCAAGTCACATGTTTTATGTGTATCTGCAGACTTGCTTGGAATCTAGAGCCTGCTGCAGGGAACGGGCAGGAAAGATGAATAGCAAGAAACTGTTTCACTGTTAGTGGATCCCAATTATCTACTCCAAGGTTTATATCTGATGCAGCCTTTCGTTTAATGATTTTGGTGCTGCCTCTTCAAACAGTATTTCTGGCCAAGTTCCCCACAGCTCTTTCACTTGTACACATCTGAAAAGCAAGCAGCAGGGAAAGCTCCTCAGAGCCGCACAGACTGACCTGAACCCAGGATAAGAGGTAATAAAGATGCAGCCTTGCCCATAAAAAAAGTTTTAAGATAACAGAGTGAGGACGATAAGATACAAAAATTCCTCATTGGCCACATCATGACCAAGCCGTCCCATGAAAATAACTATTCCACTGGCATACTCATGCAGGTATATGGTTTTGCCGTGCCTCCTTACAGAATACACTCACCCAGTCTGTTTTGAAGGGAAACAGGTATTTGTATTTCTTAGGGACTTGGGGTGTGATGAAGTTCTGAGTCACCTACATCCAGGGTTCATCTGTCCAGAACAATTGTGAACAGGCAGTAGCCTTGCCAGAGGGAGAGCTCCATGACAAGCAGTGGAGCTAGAACCCAAGCTACCGTGGGCTGTCGACACAGCCTGTGCTAGGAAATACTGCTCATCAACTCTATAGCACTACGTTCCGCCACCTCTTCAATTACTGCAGCCAGGCATGAATTAGCACGCCTCAAGCAGACACAAAAAAAAGGAAGATTAACACAAATGGATTGATCTGTAGGGTATATCGACTGGCTCAAGGGACAACAGGAGGAGCACAGAACGATCCTAATTGTCATGGTATTACAACAAAAAGCTGAGAGCTGCGTGACATATTTCCAAAAATTATTCTAACCTTTAGCAAAATGTTTAAACCTAAACACTATTCCTTCTCCAACCATTTCCCACATTTTTATTCTTCTTTATTCTTTACCTCAAATGCAGCACAGCTACTAGCAAGTTCCTTCCAGGCGAAGAAATATTTTGTAATACCTTACTGTTAACATCTTTAAATCACAAGCTGGTACAATTCTAACCAGAAGTTATGAAATTTTTAAAAGTAATTTATAAAGAAAGCAGAGCTATGAACACTCGCAACCTCAGGACTCAATCCAATGTGCCTATTGCTGGGAAAGGGAGAAAAAATTAGACCATCTCAGGTTGAGAACATGCACTGTTACTCTAATTGGTGCTAATGGGGAACAGAGGGCTCAGCCCAACAGAGCTCTTTGCAAAAACACGCATAGGAGACTGTATGGCCACAGAGGCTGTGTTGGGAGTTTCAGAAAAATCTGAACTGGAAGATTAGAAGCTTGAGCTTATTTTAGATTGAAAAGATACTGTAGAATTAAGAGATAGCTGAGAGGGCTGTAGAGACCTACAGACAACATCCTAACTTCCTAGGCTTTGACTTTATCTGGGTAAGTCCTAAAACCAATCTATATCCTGGAGACAGCTATCAAGTTCCTCTGACATGTTCATTCATTTTTTACTTTGTTTTATTTTTTTAAACCAGATCTGGTCATGATGCTGCACCGACTTCATCTTCAAAGAGGCTTGTGATCCACTTTTCTTCTGCCAGAACAGTCTCAAGACCAAGCCTATCTTACCCCCATCTCCAGCACAGAACACCACCATGAAATGTGTGCAAAGCACACGAGACAAAGCTATAATTCTGACCTTGTTATACCTTAACAGCATCTGAGCTGACCGCCAGAAATTTCTCCAATGAAAGCAAGGATCCATCTGCTCCCTGAACATACTGTCTTGTGTACCTTTGCATGATGCTACAGAAGACGATGGCTCCCAAACAGAAACCCACAGAGGTGCACCATACATGCTAGCTGCTGGGCAGCAGTGCAGACACAGGCCAGCTCACAAGCTGAATTGCCCAACTGCCTCATGTGGTTCCTTTTAAACATCCTCACCTATTGTCTGGTGATGCTTCAGGGACGACAGCAGCACAGCCTTCAGTTTACCAGCAACTTCAGCCACATTCTCTCAAATCATGCCTATAGTCTGGGAAAGGTCATGTTTTCTGTACTATCTCTGCTTTATAACTCGTACAAGAACCAAATGAGATACCTGACATACATCAAACTGAATAACTATTTCTCAAGTCTCCATATTTCATCTGAAAAAAATACCCATGGGCATATCCCTTTACCGGATGCTTATTTCCTAAAATTGCTGCAACACTTGCAAGCTTCATGCTCAGGGGCCAACACTTGGGAGCACATACTGTGGTTTCAAGTCAAACCATACATCATAACAATGGCATTTCCACAATTTCCCCTCCTGAGATGTCTGGGACTGCTCTACCATTGCTCTAACACAAACAACCCATCTTCCTTTAGCATCTCTTCACTAGAGCTGAGCTACAAGGAGAGTGAGAATCAGTCCTACAAAGTTCAGTAGGCTTCTGATATTCAACACTCTCAGAATTGAAGTATTTCCATCTCATACAAAATAACTTTGCCATATGTAAACCATTATAAGCAGATCTCAGCCTAATACAACCATCGACTGAGGCCATTTAGCTGCACAGCTACATCTTCCTTATGCACTCCCCTACACCAAGCTAGTGCTTGAGATTCTCAGGGTGTAAGAAGTATTAGCACCTTAAAACACTACACTTTTTACTAATTAGGCAACCACAAGTTATTCACTGCAGAAAAATACACTTTTCCACTTTTTCAGATACTATACAAACACATGGTCTGCCTGAAGAGCTGGTCTCCCCTTTTCAGAGTTCTGTTGATAAATAAGCACAAGCTGCTGTGCAGGAAGACTGCTGGTATCTGCTTAACAAACTTTCAAAGGACAATTCTCTACTTCCATTAGAGGCACGTCTCAACTCAAACAGTTATTATAACAGTGAATAACATTGTGTGTGCAACGGAATGATAACTGTGTGCCTCACCAGGACACTGCCTGCTGCTATCAATACAGAAAGCCAGCACAAACGATTCTGCACCAAGTACAGAACACTGAGGCACCAAACTCTCCCACAGAAGGATACTCTAAGGAGCTTGCTGGCTGCTCTTTAACCAGGAACATTGGGAACCATTGCCTCCTATGATGGTCAACTGATTTTATGCTTGAATCTCTTTTCTAACTCCAAGGATTAATTTGTGTTTTGTAAATCCACATCACACACAATTCCCTGCCTGAAGAAATTCCACCTGTCCACCACACTGGGCACAAGCACCCTGAAAACATTTTGGTTATTGCTTCTTGCTAAAGGTTTTTGATCGCTGTCTCTGCTGGCAGGCATGAACACCAGCTTTCCTACAATGACATATATATCAAAGTTACCCAGAAGTAAGTTCTTCGCATACTTCCATAATCTTTAGATTCAAAGGGTTTGGGGGCAATTATGCAAAACATTATTCATTTATATAGTACCTTTTATCTAGACTAGAGCCTCTTCTGACTGGATGTTGCACTGAATTTCTCTCCTGTCCTACTCTTGCTCTGTTGGGACCCCAATCAGTTCCTCTTTAGCTCTCGGAAGGACTAGTTTAAATTCAGTAGGAGACAAGCAGGTGTCAGATACATTTACTCTAAAAGTGCACCTATGTAGCATGTAGAGTTTTCAAACTCAATACACAAATACATGATAGCAAAGAGAAAGCCACTACAAGGGCTTCAGCTTGGATCAACAAAACCATTAAGATAAAGCTGCCTGCTTTTTAAAGCAGATCCTAAATAAATCCTGAAGCCAGGAAACAGGAATCGCTCTCACCCAATTATACAACCCCAGAGACAAACCAACTCTTTAGAGACACAACAGAGCTCTGTATCTTCACAGAAAGACAAGATTATGCCTCTGCATTTAGCTGGAAAAAAATTGGCACCGGTTACAGTATGCAGACAAATAATGCCTTGGAAAAGATCCCACTGGGAGAGGAGAACTCCCTGCTGCCCCAAGGACAGGGCTTATGATGGATTAGAACTGGATTCCTGGAATGCAAACCTATAAAGACATCTCTAACAGTCCCTCTCTGATCTCCTCTACAAGTTATACTCTTCTACTATCACACCCAGGAAACAGAAACGATCAGAGGTGCTGAAGTAGGGCTCCCTGCACCTATGGTCTAAGCTGATTTCTGTCAAGAAGGAACAATAGTTTCAGTTCACTTTTAGGGAAGAAAAAGAGGCTCATGACCTCAAGGAGCTCAAGTCACTTCAGGCTTAAGCAGAAAGAGTTCTCAGCCAGGAAGAACTTCATGAGTTCACACTCCTACACACTAAGAGAAAAACCCCAAGGAGAGTCAAATGGAGCAGCACTCACAGGAAGTAATGCTGAGAAATAGTTCTGGGAGTCCAGGTTTGCATCCAGCTGCTGCAGTGGGAACTCCAGAATCACTTTACTGAGCACCTGCATCATCTCCTTCAGGCCAATGTTATAGGCATACCTGCAAGGAAAAAGGTCAAAAAAAAAAAAAAAGTTTCACACTACATCTCTGCAGACTGTGGTTCCTCACATCATTATAGCAGAAGATTTGACTTACATCTTCCAGAATTTTTTGTTTCCTCCCCTCAAATAACATTCAGGTAACAAAGCCACCTTGCATTGCATCAGGCCCCGTGTAAGACCAGCAGTCCTGGAAATCTGCTATCACTGTGGAATGAGCTGCTGCACGGACAGCACCCTCACGTTTACTAGAGTGCTGCATGAATGTGGTTGCGCAAAAGAAGGGAAACAGGTTTGTATTTGAGAAATACTAGGTAAAAGGCACCCTGATTACATGTTCCAGACTTGCTGCTGTACAAGCAGAGTGGACAAGTCACACCACAGCACAGTCTCAGCTGCAGACAGCTGGCTGAATGTTGCAATGTGAGGAGCAGCAGTTCCTGCATGAGTTTACAAGAAGTCAGTGCCAAGAACTGGCTTTCTCTCTCCAGTGCATAATTACTTAATAGCAATTCAATGTCCCGTTACAGAATTGGGGCTGGAAAAGCTTAACGGTTGAGGAAGCTATAGATGCATCAATTCCTGTGGTCATTCAGTCACAAACCCTAATCTGTGTTTCTCATGCTGTAATCCTGCTAAAATTATTGTTTAACAATCAACATGGGTATTCACATGGTTTCTCCTCTTTCTAGATCTGCTGTTAAACAGAACTGTTCAGAATAAGGGACAGCATTTTTAAGGGAACACTCACTTGAGAGAGTTGATTTCCAGGACCAGGTTGTCACAAGAAATGTTTTCCTCTTCACCCCTCTGTAACGTACCCAGAACCTCATTCTGAAAAACTAATGAAAGAAAGGACAGGTAGTTAGGCCAAAGGAGAGCACACGTTCTTCAACCCTTTCACTACAAAATGAAACTGTGCCCTTAACAAAGGAAGCATTCTGATGGAGACCTCTATTTGGTCTCCATAAGCTGGCACAAACCCACATCAACTACACTTACAAATAGTGGTATAATGCAAATAAAGGAAAAGACTTTCTAGATATCATTGATCTAACCACACCAACCAGTACAAAGCTATTTATCTCTGTGATCTTTTAGAGCAGTTTCTATTACACTTTCACATTGTAGCCTTTCCTATTCAGGACAAACCTCACCTTCCTTTAACTAAAGATATGAAAGTAAAGATAGAATTTATTAGGTAAATTTCTTTTGGGGACATACTTTCAGGTGCAAAATGTGTGTGTGTGTTTTCCACTTTAGCCTGAACCCCTTTTAAATCCACATGAACCTAAAACAGAAAATCAAAGCACATCTGCCAAAAGAAGCAGTTTCTATAAGGAAATTTAATCCCCCAAAACAATTACAGCAGTAATCTGTCCTGACCAGGGAAATTTGCTGGATCTTCACACAATCTGAGTTTAGGCAATGACACTGCCATTTGAACAGATGACTCAGGAAAGTCACTTTCATGAAAGCCCGGCAATCATGAGTAGAGAATGATGAAGGATCTTTGCCTAGCTTCTCACCCTGGACTACCTTGGGTTAAGGTACAATAGCAACATAGTGAATATTAAAAACCAGGGTATTAAAAACCAGGGTAGCAAATGTAGAAAGTGAGGTCAGGAAGCAAACACATTACATCCATCCACAGACCTTCCAATACACCTAGAGAGAGCAGCACAAGCCTCACTGTCTGCATTACCTGCAGACTTACCATTGCTCTCAATGGCCCCATCTCTCACCTTTGATGTCATCTAGCTGAGGGGATGCTGCCCGACTGTCTGGCTCCTCAGGAGCCCATGCTCAGGTCACTGTCTGACTCACTCTCTTCTTCTGAATGCACAGCCGGGCCTGGTGAAGAAGAGAAGACACCATTCAATGCTCAAAAGCTTCAGTTGTCATACACATGTGGAACCAGGTGTCCCAGGGACTTCACAATCAAATCAGCAACCATCTGTCCTTGCAAGAAAGGCTTTACTCACAGGTCCAGATGGTTAGAATTGCTGCAGAGGGAACACTACAGCTGGCACTGGGATTGTTACTATTATTATTATTTTTAAAGTCTGCAGGCAGACAGCAAAGGACAGGGACAGAAGCAAATGCATTTGTGCAGAGTGCTGACTCATTATGGAGCGGTGTCAGCAGGCTGTCACTAGCAGGAAGAAAAACAGAAGAACCCAGAAGAGCCAAAGCTTATCCCTTCTATCCCTTCTGCAGGAGGGCCTGGTGGCCCGTGGCGTGCCACTCACGGCACAGACAGCTGTGTACGTTTGTCAAGTTCATTGTGTAAGTCAAAAATACAATAACCATCTTCCACAGAGCAGAGGAAGAGAGAATCTGGTCTGTCACCTTTCTAAGTAACCTCTCACCTTCAAACACAAAAGTTATCTGAAGGCCCAACTGCCTCATAGAGTCCAGGCCTTATTCTGGGAACAATTATCAGCGTTCCTCTCAGCAAGTTTCCCTGATACAAAGTCTGTCTGCCCATCCCCAGGTGACTACACCTTACCCCATAGACTCTGTCTCTGCTCTTCTTCATCCTCTTCATTCTTGTCATCTGCTTTCCAAAGATAGCCTTTGCCTTCTGAGCCTACATCCTTTCTGTTGTAACCTGAAAAAGACACAGCGATTAGGAGGTAGATGTACTGGACCTGCTTATGGGTAAACCTGAAATAGACATAAAACTTGCATCTACTGCCCTTAAATATCCTTCAGTGAGAGGGAGCTGGGATTCCTGAAAATGCGTATTTTTTTCCACTTTTATCTTCCCATTTGCCTCGACAAATGACCACTGACTTACCCCCGCAATAGCAACAACATTCAGTTGAGCATGTTCAGATCCCTCAGCAAACCCACACCGGTAGAAACAGCATCTCACAAGGACAAAGTCCTTGGACACGTTCCAGGTACAAGGACATAAATCTTGCAACCTGCCTCAAACGGAACATCTCGTTCAACTCCAGCTTATAGTCTCTTAAGAGGCTCCTACTCCAGGAAAAATGGAAAATAGCTGATTCCTCCACATATTTCATTGCTGGGATACTGAGGTACAATACCCCACTGCCCAGCTTGAGCTGAACATCTTTGCTTGCCCTATGGGACATATACTCCAAGCTGAACGCAGCACTAAGCTCCAGCCTGGCACTGCAGAATCTAGAGTGAGGAAGGGAAAGACCCCAGATGATGGAGGGCAAAGTCCTCTGTACGTCCTGAGCGCGTGGAGCCAGAAACTCTCATACCTTTCAGTTTGACTTTATTCTCCTCCTTATTCACGCCAGAATCATCACTGAACTGGTCGTCATCCTCTTCCTCCTCATCTGGCGGGTGCAGGGAGATCACTGTGCCCTCAGAAAGCGTGATGCCAGGACCTACTACTACCTGCAAATACGTGCAACATATCTTAATGAAGAAATACCCTGATTGCTCCCTCGTCCCGCCACCAGCAGGGAGGATAACAGCTCCAGACAAGCTATTCCGAGAGAGTCAAACAAATGTGACTACAGATATCAGCACTGCTAGGGTACATACCATGCTACTCTAGCCAAAATGCCCAAAGGAAGAAAAAGTAGCAGCATTTCCCCATCTCTGAGGAAAGGCCTGGAGCAGCCCTGTATTCTGGTATGGTTTAATGTATAAGCATAGGAAGTGCCAAGAGAGGCAGAAAGCAATATAGACACAAACACAACTCACCTGAGAGGAGAGGACACAGCGCGGCTTTAGCTTTACTTCCTCCTTCACTTCAGCATTATCACAGACAACAGAATGGATGATCTCCACGTTATCTGCTATCCGTACGTTGTCCCAGAGAAAAGCTCCGTCCAAAGTGACTTTGTCACCTGTTATACACCATCAAGTACAAATATTTTTATCAAGGCAGACTGCTGCTCTCCCACACTGCTGAGTTCACTAGAAAGCATCTTACTGAACCTAGGACTAAACAATGCCCTCGATGCATGAAAGATGTTAGATGAAAGGAGGAAAATGGTCTTATAGACCTACAGACACTTAACCAAAGCTAAAAGTTGAGTTTGTTCCCACAGAGATTGAAGAAGTTGACAGTAACAATGGAAATCTTGGATTTGCACAAACACAGCCAAATCACAAAAAAAAAAAAAAAAAAAATCAAGCCAGAGCTAGAAAGAAGGGGCACCAGGCAGCTCACAAAAAATGATGCCCCTTGTTTGCAGGCTGTTGGTGGTGATAATCCTAGGTCATTAAACACCATGCACTCTCTTCTGCTGAAACGACTTATTTGCATGAAGCGCCTCCCACTTTCAGCATCATTAAGGTACTCTGAAAATTTTTATGTATTTCCTCCCCTGGAAAACTAAGCTTTTCTCCTTTCTTCCCCATTAGTACCTAGCATCTTTGAGAGCCAAATGTACGTATCTTGTAAAAAAGAAAACAAAACAAACAAAAAACAGACAACCAAACAAAAAACAACAACACATTGTGCCCTAATCTAGCACACCCTGCATGCCCCCCATTCTCATACTCACCTATCCTACAGTTCTGCCCTATAACACTGTTCGTTATGGAGCAGTCGCTGCCGACGACGGTTCCCTGCCCAATGAGCACGTTCTCTTCCAGCACGCTGCCGTGACCAAGGCTAACATCCACCCCCCGGTAAATGTTGTGTTTGGAATGGGTGTAACTCTGGTTCTCATCATCAGTGAAGTTCATCTCCGGAGTCAAAGGATAAACCCAGCGTCTGATGATGTCAGAGCACACAGCTTCGTACATCAGCAGGTTGCATATATGAGCACCATACTCTTCTGTCGTTACATGCATGTGGATCTGGTTCCCCAGGACCTGGAAACAGGACAGGGACATGTTAGAGTGTTCTCTGATGCAAGGGGACAGGATCTCCCCCCTAACATCCCTCTCATCCCTCTCCTTACCTCCTCATTCACTAACAGACCACGCACAAAGTCATCCCGCGTCTGGTAGTCAAAATTGTCAGTAAAAAGCTCAGCCACCTGCCAGGAATAAAATGTAAAGACATAATGTAATTATGGAAATAGTTGTCAGGGAAGCCAGTTAATTAATGGCTGTTCAGCAGTTCTCAGAGAGACGAGTTATACAGTATAGGAAAGTGATGCTCTTGCCTTGAATAAAGCTTTGATTCCTGCCGGTAGGAGTGTTGACCTTCCCATCTCTTCCTCCTACCGCAGACTATGAACAGATTCTGGTTTTCAGAAGGGGCAAAACATATAACTTTAGCACCTCCAAGCAGTCCGCCCAGCCTCGCTTTGTAGTTTCACTCCCAAAGGAAAGCTGTAAAGCTTTCAGAAGCGGGAGAGATGTTACCAAGCCATTACTAAGCCTAGGCTGGAGCAATCCTGAATATTACCCTAGCGTGGTACCAGCTTGCACGTACTGACACTTTTCCACAGTATAGGCATCACCTCTGCTCCACAGACTTTACTACTGCTTACTTTCCAGTATGGTTTCATCCTGTGCCCAATCAGCCATTCAGTCTCCTGATGCATCTACTATTTAGGTCTGCCTGGCCTCGAGCAGGGGACGGCAGGAACAGGCTCACAGAGCTGTGCCACACTGATCCCAGCTCAGTCGCTGAGCACAGCAGGGAGTTCTGGTTTTCAAACCCAGTACACCAAGGGCACATGCACCCCTGCACGTCAGGAGCACCAAGAAGCAATGCCGATTGAATTGTAGACCCTCGGAAGGGCAGAGCTCACCTGTGGAGAGCAGATGCTGATATGACAATCCAGCAAGTCATGGCGCACCTCCACATTCTCAATAGAGTTCTGAAATAGACTCTGGAAGAGGAAAAGATTCAGATAATCTGAGTGTCGCACGCAGCATTGAACCCTTGAAGTTTTCCCCAAGCCAGAGGTACCATATTGATTGCATTTTTAAACTAACTGCTGTTCTGGAGATCAGAGAAGTCTGCTATCTCCACTGAGACAAGCAGTAGCAGGCACAGCCCAGTCACACACAGCTGTGTGTCAGTCAGCCAAGACTGCCCTCATCCACACAAGCTGCAGTTCTCCAAGAAACAGCTTGTACAAACTATCTTTTTTTTTTTCCCCCTAGAAGGTTCCTTACCTTTAGCTGCTAAAAAGCTACAAATGTACAAAGAATATTAATGAATCCAAATGCAATATTCACGGCTTTCACACCGCCCCGTGGATTTTTACAGTTGTGGGGTGGTTTTATTTTCCTCCTCCTTTTTTGTTTTGGACAATGATTTGTGCTTTCATTTGAAGGTAGGGAATAGTTTACCAATAACCAATTTAGAGATGAAAATGCCATGTATATTCATAGTCTTACTTCTGATTTGAAAAAGAAAAGGGTCCATTTATCTCACTGAAGTGCCTCCACAGATGCAAACTGAGCACTTACTACATTATTAGCAGAGCCCCTGACATTTCTAGAGAAACAGTTCAGGTAGAAGTGATAAGAGGTACTACACCTTGCACCTCTTGTTATTCCACCCTGTGTCAGGCTCAGTGTCGCTTCAGAACAGGTTTGTGTATGACAGGGACATAGGCACTCCAGTTTGCACAGTCACTGTGACAACATAAATCATCCACCTCCCTTGTTTCATACGGAGAAAAGGATGCAAACTGAATTTTGAGAAATGCCTGCCCCAGTCTTCAAACTGTGAAATGAATCCCAGCACAATGTCACCAAGCCTTACATAAAGGTTAAAGAAAAAAGAAGCCAGTTTACCAAGGGTTCCTTCCTATCATCTGCTCCTCCAAAGGAAGCAGCAAGCACAGCTCCCCAGCCCTCCCTCCAGGAGGATTTCTCGGTGGGCTACTTCACTACTGCAGCCCTTTTGCACCCATCAGGTTGCAGACGCACCATAGGAAAGCGGAAGCGTTTCAGCCCCTGGGTTCTCTGATAGTGAAGGACGCGGTTCGTGGCACTGTCCATAGCAATGACAATGTCATCCTCCTTGCACCTGGCGTGGTGACCAGGCGAGGACTCCTTGAAAATCATCGTCATCACAGAAACGTTCTTTTCCATCTTACGACGCAACCTGAAAAAGAACGAGGGCAGAGTTTTGAAATCACTCTCTAGAGCCCAGACAAGCACATCAGGCAAGCACAGCGTTTCTTTCACCACCTACTTGTGCTCTTCCAAGGCTGTGGATATATTGAAGTTGGACACCACATCCCCAGTGACCAGAATGAAGTCAGAACGAACAAGGGACTTGGCATCAACGTCTCTCAGCACGTCCCCCAGGGAGCGGTACAGGTCGGAAGTCACGAAGCGCACCGTGTTGGGAGAGGTGTGACGGCACCACTTGGATTTTCTGAGAGGAGAAAAACACGTCAGAAAGCCACAAAAAAAAAAGTACCTACGGAAAACTCAGGAGGACACGGTGCATCGGACATACAGAAGCGAATGCAAGGAGAATCCTAGCACAACAAGCACACCATCCACTGCCTCTTTTAAGTGAGAATAGTTAAATGTCAATATAAATGCAGTCCACAAACACACAACCCTCTTAAAAGACTGCACAAACACACTTGTTCACAGGAGGAATGGTCTTTCCTGAGATGCATTAGGTTAGATGTCTCTTGAAAGGGAATCTAGCACAAAGCTTTCATCAGCAGGATCCGAACAATATAAAACCTCTGAGGCTTGCTGGAGAACAGAATTCTTTCCATGATCAAGCTAAAAAGAAGAGATTCTTACTGTAAATGCTCTTTTATCTCAGCTGACTTCCAACAGCAGAAAACAAAGGTTTCTTCCACTCCAGTCGCTGTTAGGAACTCCAAGGTGTAGTCAATCATGGCCACGTTTGCCATAGGTAAAAGAGCCTAAAAAACAGACACACAGAGAACTGAACAAACACTGTTAGTTACCACATATAAATTTGTCCTGGTTTTGGCTGGGATAGTGCTCATTTTTGTTGCAGTAGCTGGTACGGTAGAGGCTGGGGGTGCACAAGGAGCTGGGAGGGGACAGAAGCAGAACAGCTGCCCCAAGTGGCCAGAGGGATGTCCCATACTCCATGGCACCCTGCTGAGCAGCACAGCTGGGGCTTGGTCAGGAACTGGGGGCAGCCACTGCTCAGGGACTGGCTGGGCATCGGTCAGCAAGTGGTGAACAATTGCGCTGTGCATCGCTTGCCTCCTATATTTTTATCATTATTAATATTCTCCCTTCCCTTTCTGTCCTATTAAACTGCCTTTATCTCAAGCCACGAGTTTTTTTCTGATTCTCTGCCCCACCACACAGGGAGGGAGGAGCAAACAGCTGCATGGTGCTGGGTCAAACCACAACAAAAGCTCTTCCGTGAGGACTCAGCTCAGCTGGGCTAGAAAACTCACACATCCCAGTGCGTCGCTTCCCTGACTCAGGCTTCAGCTGCTACAAGAAAAACCTGTCAGACGTGAACGATGCAGCCACGGGAACACGAGCGTCCCGGAGACAAGGGGAGGGGGAAGATGCAATGGGAAGTGAATGCGGGACTGTGATTTGGGACTCGGGCCATACGTTTAAGCCCAGTTCCTGATTTACACCTGAGTGATGTTTCAGCACTCAGTGACTCGCTCTGTGTCCTGTTTTGTTTCAGACCCGATGCCGTGTGTGCAGTTATGACCCCCACAAGCAGGTAATGAGCAGACGAGGTATGATCGCTGCTCAGACCCGGCAGCACTCCTTCCTCTCAGGTAGCATAAGGGAGATTATACCACAGAATTCTGCTGTAGTCAGACCTTTGTAATAATACCTAAAAGTCTCCTCTCCCTTTCTTAGTAATTTCAGACAGCTGCATGTGGCCAAAACTATGTTTTATACAGCATTTTTAAAGCTCTTACAAATTACTTAGGGAGTTCCTAAAAATTACCTGTTCTTACCTCCCTACTTATTACAGTGAGTTACAAAATCTTAATTAAGGAGTTAACATCACCTTTTCCTGTTATTGGTGCTTTATTTGCTGAGTTGTCAATCTTAAGGGAGCTAGTATATCACAGAATCAGAATCACAGAATTTCTAGGTCGGAAGAGACCTCAAGATCATCGAGTCCAACCTCTAACCTAACACTAACAGTCCCCACTAAACCATATCCCTAAGCTCTACATCTAAACGTCTTTTAAAGACCTCCAGGGATGGGGACTCCACCACCTCCCTGGGCAGCCCGTTCCAGTGCCTCACAACCCTTTCAGTAAAGAAATTCTTCCTAACATCCAACCTAAACCTCCCCTGGCGTAACTTTAGCCCATTCCCCCTCGTCCTGTCACCAGGCACATGGGAGAATAGGCCAACCCCCACCTCACTACAGCCTCCTTTAAGGTACCTGCAGAGAGCGATGAGGTCGCCCCTGAGCCTCCTCTTCTCCAGGCTGCACAAGCCCAGCTCCAGCCCCTCCCCCCCCCCTCCCAGCCCCATTCTCTCCCTTTCCCACCCCCCCCCCAGCCCCCGGGGCCGGCTCTGACCCGCGGCCGGTCCTTGGAGATGGGGAAGAAGCGCCGGTTGAAGCTGTCGGCCACCAGCACGGCCTGCAGCGGCGGCGGGGGCTCCTCCTGCGGCTCGGGGCCGCGGCCGGGCCCCGCTCCGGCCCCGCGCCTGGCAGCGCCGCGGGCCGCCATCTCCTCACGCTGCCTCCTCCTCGCTTCCCCCCTCCCCGAAGCACTTCCGGTTCCGGCCCCGCGCCGGAAGCAGCGACGGGAGCGCGGCGGGGACACAACACCGCGAGGGCGGCGGGCGAGCGAGATGCGCGGGGAAAGGGGTGCGCATGCGCAGTGCGGGTGGAGGGGCTGGTGATGGAGGGGGGGCTGTGAGGGGGGCTCCTGTGAGGCCCCCCCTGAGGAAGCCCCCACAGCGGGAGCTGCTGTGCTGGAAATAAACTTATCTCTCTGATTTCGTTCTCTGTGTGTGTTTGTGTAACCATCACGATGGCGGGTGCCGCCCTGCGCCCAGCACCAAGGGAGACCCCAGCCCCACGGTCCCTGAGGCGCCTCGCTGAGCCCCCCGGGTGCTCCCCAAGGAGGCTCCTCAGGAAAACAAAATGGGGGCACATCGCAGGCATCAGGCCTCCAGTTCTGTCCCAGTGCTGTCCCCTCAGCCCAAACCCTCTGCCTGAGGGGTCTTTGCTGGATTATTAGTGGGAAAACTACGTGGTATGCAAGATGCAGCACCCCTTCCCGCTGTTTTAATTGCATATTTGCGACTGACTTAGTACAAAACTCTTCATCTCCCGAAGGACACTGCAGCATTGGGTGTTCCCTGAATTTCCCTTACCCGTTAAAATGCTCAGGCATCGCTTGCGCTGTGCCATCTGCCCCCGGTAACTTGTGACTGAGCCCCTGCTGCTCCGCACCTCGTGGCGGAGTTGCTTGACCTTAGATAGTTGCTTGGAATAAAGCGGCAAGGATGGGCACGGTGAGGAAATGAAAATGAGCTGCCCCGGAGAAATAAATTGTTCCCATCATGTTCAAAAATAGGTATCCGCATCCCCTCGGGAATCCTGTTGCCGCAGTGAAGAAGCTAACCCCGGAAAAAAAATAAATAAATAAAGCTCCCAGATGGTTTGAGCCCAGGGGTTACAGCTTGGGGAATTAACCAAGAGGTGGATTTGTCATTGCCTGAGGGCAGGACGGCATCTTCCTTCCTGCCTATGTAGCATTAAGCGCATAAACAGCGCCAGAAATCAGGTCTGATCCAGCATGCACAGCCACTGCCCGTGTCAGGACAGGGCACACGGAGCTCGGCAGGAGAATCAGCAGATTATCTGGCTAATTGCATCCTGTTCTCTCCAAATGAGGCGACTTTCCAAGACGTTGCCCTGGTAAATTGGCAGGAGCAGGGGAAAGCAAATCAAGGTAATTGCTAATGAACTGAACTCAAAATCGGCCTGATAAATATTCCTCAGGCTTTGCAGAAACATTTCCATTTGGTTTTGGTTGGGACTTGCAGGCCAGTAGCACCCACATCAAGTATTTTCTGAAAGCGATACAATTCCAGGGGAGCTTTTAGAATTGAAATTACCAAAAAACATCACAATGAGGCTGTACTGGGTTACCCTGAAGGGCCACCGAGCCCAATATCCCTCAGTGGCTGGGAAGGGGATGGGAAGCCCCATGGACTGTAAGGTTTTTTCCATCTCCGTCATCCTTCAGAGTGTCAATGAGCAAAATATAGCAGCTCTGGGAACAGTGAGCCCTGTGGGGATGCTCAGCTCCCTGGGGCATCTGCCTTCCAGTCCCTGCCCCTACACGTGTAACCCTTCTCTCTTTTCATGTCTGTTGTCCTCTCTGATCATTTGGTTGCTCCCCAGCTTTTCCCTCTGTGTAGAAGATGCCCCCTGGGGTATCGTTAAGCCTTGGCAAGCAGCTCCAAATTTGGGGCTATTGCAGACAGCTTTGGGGCTCCACACCCACAGGGACTTGTGGCAGGGATTCCTGAGGGTGGTGGGACTCGCAGTGAGGAGGATCACAGGAGGTCTGTGTGGAGGAACCACGAGATTATATTGCTCATCATCCCTCACTGGCTGTTTTCCCGAGTAGCCCCAGGGTGGCAGTGCTCACACCCAGCTCTCAGACACGGTCCCATGCAGGTAATGGTGCTGTGCGGGTTCTGCTGCTCGCACTCTGCCCCATCCTGTGCTGATTCACCTCGCCACCATGCTCAGAGACTGACAGGGCTTCGGGCAGCACAGGCTCCTCACAGCAGCTCAGCAAGGACAGCCTGCCCAGGGGAAATGAGTCAGTGGCCATCCAGCCTTGGCACAAGCTCCTGGAGGCAGCCAGCCTCGTGACCCCAGAGGCTGCTCAATCTGAAGAGCGAGACCCGTTCCCCATCAGGGGACGGTGCTGGAGCTGTCACAGGAACCAGTGCTCCCAGTCACGAGGAGGTCTGCCTCAGCACAAACACCAGCAGATCGCTTCCAGGGGAAAACCACTTCCCCCACCCTTCCCCTGTTTCGTATTTAGCCCCCACACAACTTCTCACACTGCCGTACACCGGTACCACCTCCATCCCTGGGCTCCCTGCCCTTCAACACCTGTGTGAGTCGAGGATTTCCCCCAGCTCTGCGCTCTGCACTGAGCCACGTGAAATTCGGTGGTTGGGTGGCACACAGGAGCAGAGCTGCCTCCTGTTTTCTCAGCTAACCCTTCTCCAGCTCTGGCCCACGTGGATTCCTGCAGCAGAAGTCTCTTTTGGAAAGCCAAAGGGTTGAACAAGGACTGGGGGTTCACAGCCACAGCCAAGGAAACATCACACCGCAGAGGGTTACAGGGACAGGATCTGGCGTCACCTGCATCACGAGAAGGGAGCCCACAGTGCCAGGTCGGGGTTGCAGGGGACAAGAGGGAATTCCCTGGCTCTCAACAGCCAGAATACCCAGGAGAAGATGACTTCATTTCCAGAGCCCCTTGGCTGGCTCCAGCTCTCTACTACCCCGGGGGGGGCCTTATACCACCGGCAGATCTTGCTCTGTTCCTGCTCCCTTCTCGTGTGTCTATTCCTCATTCCTCATCTTTTCCAGGGGAGGAAAAGGGCTCCTGCAGCCTCCCCTCTGAGAGCAGCCCCAGCCCTGCCTGGAGGAGATGCCGGGGGAGCCGCCTGTCCCTCTGCCTGCTGCGGCCACACCAGCTGTGTGGCTTCAGGAAGGAGGCAGCCCCGCTTCCCCGGCATCCCTCTGCCAAAATCCTTTGATCAAGGCAGGGCTCGGAGCAGAGCCCACGTTTCCTGTAACCCTTCCTTCCCTGCGCACCCGCTGCTCCGTGGGAAAGGCAAATTTATCAGAGCTGCAGTCCGAGGGGCTCCACATCGCCAGGCAGGGCTGGGAACCGAGCAGTATTTCTGTAGCTGTGCCGCTGCAAGGATCCGCTCAGCTGCTCGTGCACCCCAAGATTTGTTTCAAAAGAGCTTTGTGTTGGGGCTGCCTTAAAATCTAACGAAGGCGGAGAAGGGGAACTTTCTCAGGGAGAGCTCTGCAGCCCCCTCCAGCACTTCAAAGCCAGCGAGAGGCCACCTTATCTTGACAGATGTTGCACGCCACGGAGCTGGTTACTGAGCTGATGTTTCCCATGGCCTCACTCCAACACTTCTCCCGGTTTGTCAGGGAGATATTTCAAACTGTAACGCTGCAGAAAAGTAGAAGGAAGCAGCTGATTAATGACCGTTTCCTGGTAGTGTAGAAGTGCTGGCTCCAGTTGGAGGCGTACCAAAGAAGAGGGAAAATACTGGAAACCAGAAACCAGATTAAAAGTTCCTCTTCTGCTTTTTCCAAGACAAAGCAATTAACACTGATACGGTGCAGTGTGCTGGGGCCTGTACCCGAGGCGTGCTGCCTCTGATGCCCTAAGCAGATTAATTATTCCTCCTTCTTTCCATCCTTTTAGGATTTATCAGGGTGTGAGGCACTGATCACACCACCAGTCCCGAGGTTTGATTCCCGGTGCCCTGAAGTTACCAGGCTGCCTTCCAGCTCGGTGCAGCCACCCAAGATGAGGTGGGACACCGAGCTCCTTGGGGCAGGTTTGGCTGCAGCTGGTGCTGTGCGGGGGAATAAGGCGAGCCCAAAGGCACCGGGGTGACTCAAGGCTGATGCACGGAGAGCCCGGAGCACGGATCTCTGCACGCACAGGCAAAGCTCAGCCCCCTGCAGCTGGCAGCTGAGGGAACGTCTCTTATCTGTGAGCGATGCAGGCGTTGAGCTGGAAATTGGTTTGGGATCGCACGGCTGTGGGCAGTCACGGGACGGCCCTGGGCGATGTGCCCAACGCCTGCAGCAGAACCTGCTTCAAACCATCTCCGTGCATTTATTTGCACAAACAACTGCAAGTAAACCAAGGAAAGAGAAAAGTAACAAGCATGCAGAGTCAGACCTCACTCATACCAGACTGAGGCCACATTAATGGTGCTGCACAGAGCGGGCCCTGTTTTTGTTTTTTTTTTTTTTTTGCAGACAAGGCAGCGCCAGGATTCAGCAAGGCAGCGCTCGAGGTCGTTCTCCCCACCCACGGGGAGAGCTGCGGTGTTCTCAGCGCGGGAGCAGATGGTGACTGATGCTGCGTGCACCTCCCTCAGACAAGGAGCCGGCTCTGAGCGGGGGATTTTCCATTACTTCAGCTTCCCACCGGCTCAATCTTCTCCTGCCTTTAAGAGGAAGCTGCTCGCTGATGGGAGGATCTTTCTGCACGCCAGTGGCTTGAGACCTTGCTCAGCTTTTTATACACAGCAGCTCTCCTTTGCATCTCTCACGAGGCTTCCAGCAGTCACATGTTGTTGTTTTTTTTTTTGGATGAGGAACTGAGCCCTGGGTTGGAGGCTCAATTTTTGGGGTCACAGAGCAAGCTGGGGGCCAGCCCAGCCCCTCAGCCCCCCTGCAGCATGCTCCCAGTCCTGGGGCCGAGGCTGGGCTGCTCTCTGGTTGTCAGCAGTGGGCTGGGTTTAATACCTGAGCGTTTTTGGGCTGTGCTTTGTGTGAGCCCCTGGAGCTGCTTCGTGCTCCTCCAGCACCATCCCACCCCCTGCAGCCGTCCTCCTGCAGCAATCACCTTGGCAATCCCAGGCTGTGGCCCGGGCTTTGTCCCCATCCTCTCATCGTCCCACAGGGGTGGTCCCCGTGGTCCCTGCTGGTGCCATGAGAGGAATACGAGCAGGCACCGTGGCCTCCCAGTCTGAGACCCACCAGCAGCCT